ATGGCATTCATACGATTATATTATAAATTAAATATATAAATATCATTAATTATGATTTACCCATTGTTTTTAAATTAAACCGGGTTGGACACAGTCCGACAGGATGGATCGAGAACCGGTTTATAACCGGTGTAGTTCGCTTGAATAAAATATTTGCTATCGAAACCGTCAACACCAGTCGGTTGGACTGGTAGGATCGATACGATTTTCTAAATAAATTTTGTTACATTTAAAATTATTTTAAATAAAACTACATATTTAAATAAAATAGAAATTTATAAATTGTTTATCAATTAGTTTAAACATTTAAATTTTTAAATTGTTTAGATATTTAAGTAACACATTTTATTTAAATTTATTACAAAAACTACTATATTAAAATGTATATATAGATATTAAAATGTTTATAAATTAAAATCTGAACAAACCACAAATGATTTAATAGAGTAACTTGATCGTTTCGATAACGGTTCGATTCTGAAAACCATATTCACTGTACATTAATCAAAATTATAATAACATATTATTTTATTCACATAAATATTAATAAAATGATATATAAATATTCACTAATCATTAAACATGTTGTCATGAACGTATTATTAATATGATTATTTGAAGTTTGGGAAATATTAAAAATTGAAATCTATTAATAAATAAATATTGTTGTCATATTCACATGGTAATTCTTATTAAAATTGAAATGTATTAACATGCTTTGAAAAATGGTTAACAGGCTGTTACATGTTGAAAAATTTATGAACAAAGCTAAATAAATTTAAAATTTTTGTTAACATGTCAAATTTTAATGAACAAAGCTTGTTACCATTTCAATTTGAAGTGAAAATCACGTATCTATATAACAAAGTCTGTTAATCACTATTTTAATATATTGTTAATATGATTATTTGAAAAAAAAAAAAAATTACTAAGAATGGTAGGTGATTAATGTGTTGACTGAAATTTGACTTGCCACTTTTGAAAAATGGTAATTCTTATTATATATATATAGATTTATATGATTGGTTTTCTAATTTCTTTAATTTTAACCCTCTCTCAAATTATTACTGATTTTTTTAGTATAATAATAATATATATATATATATATATATCTATATAAAAAAATCAAATTCAGATACTTTAGCAATTTACTCAATTACCCCAACAATTATTGATAAACTAAGTGATCGATAATAGTGGGTCAATAATCAGTTTTGTAATTTTTAACTAACTAATTAATTATAACTCTTATAGTTGTCGTTTTTTTTGTTATCTCAAGTTGTATTACATCATAATATTTAAAATTTTAAGTTAGATTCTCATTTCAATTTATAACTACTAGAGTCAAAAGTCTTGCAAATATATTGTTGTTTGATAATAATTTAAAAAGAATGCTAATCTCACAACTTCATGATTTTAAACTCTTATCATATTTTTTTCCATTAAGTATTTTTCTCTCTATATTTTTCTATTTGTTATAAATTATATTAACAGAAGAAATTCGAATAGTTTTTTCGTTAATTATTTTACTTTTTGAAGTGAAAATTCCCATAATTTCTCTTTGGTTATAAAAAAATTACAAGCACGTGTAATTTTCAAAGAATCCTATTAGATAAGATTTTTAATAATTATAAAGTGTAATTTTCAAAGAGTCCTATTAGTTCGCTGAAAAATGTTGCTTACCATGACCTCAGAACACAACTGACAGTTCACTTACTTTGGTGGATTTGGAAAGCCAGAAATCTTTGGGTTTTTCAGAATTTCTGGCTTTTTGAATACTCTATTGTTCAAACAGCACATTCTGAGTGGTTAGAATTTGCAAGTTTATAGTTTCAGTTAGCTTGTCTTCTTTAGTTCCTTTCTTTTTTTCCAGTTTTTAGTTCAGTTGCTTGGTTTCTGTTGCTTTGTTTGGTTTCGTGATAACCCTGCTAGGTCCTTGGTTCAGTGGTATGGTTATCTTTTTGCTAGTACTACCCTTTTCTAGTACTACCCTGCTTCAATTCACAAATCCGGGCCTCATAGCTTCAGACTATGCCGGACATAGTTGATTTGAAGTAGTTCTTTTGGTTTTGGTTAGTTAGGTGGCCTTCTTGGCACTCCTCTTATTCTACCCTTGGGTAGACCTTTGTATATGGATGTACATTCTTCTTTTGCTATTTATAAAATCTATCGTTGTGAAGAAAAAAAAAAGAGTCCTATTAGACTAGGATTTTTGCCATTAAAATTATATTAGATATATAAGGGCATTTTAGTTCGTGCAATTTTTTACAAAATTATTCATTTTTTTTTTATAATATATTATAGATAAATAAATAGATAGATAATAGATTAGTTTATGATATGTGATTGTTGCATGGAATAATGTCTCCGAGATTAGATTCTATAAGATTAGAAATAAAGGCAGGCCCTAGAAAATATATTTGGACGGTTAAGTGGATTGGTCACATCGATCATTACTTGTTTCATATTGTCCTTTAATCCGTCAAGAGTCAAAACTGCACGCTTATTCGACACCACAGTTCATATTGATTAATTAAATTAATCATTGGGAACTAACTCAAATTGATTCCTATTTTTCAATCTGACTAGTATTCGATATTGTGCATTTGCACAGATGTAAATAAAATTAAATATTATAAGTTATATTTATGTATATAATATAAAAATTATAAGTTATATAATTGTATTATATTTCAAATATATAGTATTATAAGTTATATTTATGTATATAATATTAAAATTATAAATTATATAATAGTATTATATTTTAAAATTTGATCATTGGTTAAAATAAATAGTGCACACGATTTGATTGTATACGAATCACTATATTGATTGCATAAAATGTAATAAATATATATTTTTTATAATTTTGAGTGATCATGACCAATTAATTAGCTGAAAAATATTACACTTATTATAACAATTGCTTATGTGATTTTAAGAAATTTTACTATGACATAAAAAAAATTAATTTATTAATAAACAACATCTTCATCATATAAAAAAATATTGATTTTAGTGTAAAATATAATTTTATGTAACTTTCATATATTATTTAGTATAAAATATAATTACTAATTTTAATATTAACTATTATATTATTCAATAAAAAATATAATTATTAATCAATTAACATAAAATATAATAGTTTTTGTCTTAATTACCCAAAAAAATGTAATGAAATATTTTCTTATTAATGAGATTGGGTGTATTAATGCCACATAAATAAAATTTATTAGGTTCTATTTATTAGGTTTTATTAATGATTTGTCACATAGGTAAAATTTATTAGGTTTTATTTATTAAGTAAAATTTATTGCTTAGCTAGCAATTATATATATCTAGATGAATTAGAAAGTATAAATAATGCCTAAACGTTTTGTAGTAATATCTTTTATCATAAATAACATGCCAATAATAGAATCCTACGGCCCATGCAATAGCTACACATTGAGAAGATACAAAATAATAATCAAGTAGATGAATAACGGGATTTTCTTATCTGAAGTCAAAAAACAAAAAGAATTTTCATTGGTTGTATGTGGAAAGCTGGCCAGCTGGGCTTTAGTGCCAGTTGTAGAATTGTGGAGCCTAGAGTCTCTAAAGGGAGTTTGATTTAAATTAATGTGGAATTCAACTTCTCATGCTAGTAGGCTAGAGGTGGCCACGGGCCGAACCGGCCCGCGACCCGGACCAAAAATCGGCACCGAACCGGCTCGGATCGGCCCGTAACCGGCCACTAAGGGCCGGTTCGTTTAATCAGACTGTGAGGGTCACGGTTCGGTCTCGGACTACTCCATTTTTTTTTTGGTCTCGGCAGTTTGGGCCGGGCCGGGTCCGGATCACAGGCTAGAGGCGGGCTCCAAGTGTTTTTTTTATTTTTTTTTTATTTTTTTTTCTGCGGTCCGGGCCCTAAGTAATTGGCGGTTCGATCCTGGGCCGGGACGGACCCGGACCCGTTGAATGGCCATGTCTATAGTAGGCTACGAATTTTAGAAATACTTGCGAGTTTTACTAGTTTTGGAAAACTCTAGGAGTCATCTAGCTAGGAACAAAGATTAATGAAGAAATGTGGTAGAGTGTGGGACCTATTCCCTTGTCACACTTCCACCATCACAAATAAGAATCAAGAAATGTGCACAAATGATTTGATCTCTACTATTTTCCTTTCAAAGTGTGCTGAGATGACTGACCTGCAACCAAAAATATTGGTGAACTAACCATCCATCACTATCACAATGATCATTAATGTAATGATTAGTCACACTCATTTATATGGATTGAACCATATAGTCAAAGATTGTGACCGCTTTAAATTATACCCATTTCATTTAGGGCGTGCTTCTTTATAAAAAAAAGAAACTGTTTTTTTTTTTTTTTTTGGAAGTAGAATTTATTTTAATAAACTTAATATAGTTAGTTGGTAGAGAAATTTAGGAATGTATTATTAAAATTGATTTGATGTAAAAATAGAAGATAAATTATTGAAAATGATAGGTAACTAAAATTACGTGAGTTGATAAATAGTGAATTAAAGTTGATTTGATGTGTAAAAATGATCAAATGATATTATTTAATTATATTGATAATATTAAAGATATTAAAGTTGAGTTAAAGTTGAATTAGATTTTAAAGTGAGATTAATTTTTTTTTTAAATTTTTTTTCCTAGATATTTGATAAACACGGACGGCCTTAATTTCTTTGGAATAGAATCACAAAACTACAAAATCCAAACTGTTTTTAAACTACATAAAAGTGGGATCAGCAGCCTATTTGCGCATGCAATTGCACAAAGGCTTAGAGGCCCTACCTTTTTTTATCCATTTCCCGTATGAAAGATTTGGCATCCAAAACGCCTTTTGTCACTTTATTAAATTGGTCTCACGTGGTCTAACTTAGTGGTTAGTTTATTGCCCATAGGCTATGTATTGTTTCTTTATAATCTTCCTCAATTTGTCCTACCCAACTCAATTTATTCCCTTTCCAAAGAGAATCTATTAATAATTACTTATAAAAAAAAAAATCAAGCATTTATGCAAAGATGAGTAGCGAGAGCGAAGAGAGAGTGTTTTGGAATGATAAAACCTATGGATATGAAAGAACTTTTCTATCCGAATTCGAGCATAATTACATAAACACTAAGTGGTTTGAGGCCGCAAATCAAAACGCAATCGATCAAGATGAATCTGTGACGAAAAGGATCCGATTTTCTCCAGAATCCCATCACCAGGTCAGTTTATTCTACTTTTGTTTTTTTAATAATTTAATAATTATTTTTTCCTCAATTTTTTTGAGTCTCAAAAGTTTTGTGGGCTTGTGTGCACAAAGTGTCATAAGTGGTTTTGCATGGCTGCTGTACATTCATTTCACCTTGCTATTTAAATTTTTTTACATTGTAACCTAAAGAAGTTTTTAAATGTGACTGTATTTCTATAGAAAACAGACCGATGGAGATTAATGAATGTGGCCGAAATAATTATTTTAAATGTGACTGTAATTCTATAGCAAAGATAAGAAAAACTAGTAAATTTTGTCATATTTAGAAGAAAAATAAATTTTGTAAAGTACCATCATATTGCAAGGGTGACGGCTAGATTACGGAAAAGAATATGAAAAAACCAAGAGCCGTCAAAATTAATATTCAATTCGCACGTTTTTAGTGAGGAAAATTATATAGTAGTACATATTATTGTTGAAACAATGCGCCATGCGCCGGCGCATGATCAACAGCTGTAAGTAAATTTGTTGGATGGCTATAAATTAAATCTCTAACTAATATAATGTATGATTGATAATTATTCATAACCTGTTATAAATAACAAATAAATAAAAATTTTAAATATTTAGTTTTTTGGAATCACTGAATCAGTATCACATATCCCCATAACACACGCGAAAATGTATATAACTTTCTCATGTATCCCTGTAAGAAAGTAGTTAATTATAATAAAAACTATACATGATATCAAAAAAAATCTCCATGTTATTACGCAAAAAAAAATCATCGACTTAAAAGAATAAATAAATAAATAATGTAAGAACACGTACAAAATTAAGTAGAATCACAGTATGAACAAAACTATTTCTCTGAGTGAATCTTATGATGAATTCCTTCATTTTGTCCACAATATTAACGAATATATTGATTTAGCAATGTGAAATACTCTCTTATAAAAATTTCACCATTGATTTTCATAAAACCTGTCCATTTGAAAAGTACTTGCAAGCTTTCTAGTGAGGTATTTTTTATTAATATCAAACAATGAATTTTTGTTACTAACAATAAAATTAGATATTTGCCGTTTTGTTTGACCTAATCTGCATCACAATCCTTGGATTTTCACAAGATTTGCATGCATTGTTAAAATATTCATATTGTAATCTTTTCAGCGACGCCTACCGATCAAAAATTGGATATTTGATAATCGAAAAATATTGCCTATGTACAAGTGTCACTTTCGTTAATTGGATGAATCATACATTAAAATGATATATTTTTACGTAGAATTCAAAAGTCCTAAATTAATTCGATTCAAATTTTATCGTTACTTGGGTCAAAATTCTTTTGTCATTTTAGGATTCTAATCGTCAATTTATGAATTTCATTTATTTTAGGAGACAATTTGTCAAGTTTAAAATATTTGATGACAAAATAACCAAATTGACATAGTTTGGAATGTATGAAAATTCCGTAAAAATGAATTTATCAATAAGTAGGTACTTGATTTGTAAAGTTATTGAAATTTTGATAAATATTTTCAATATTTACAGTATAAGCCTGGTCTAATATTTCGAGATCGCGTGAACAACTCTATTTTATCATTGTTAAAAAGTGATCAGCGTGATGGACTATTTAGCTTAGTAATGGTAGCTTAACATACAATAATTTTCCAACGTAAGGTTTTAACTTTGAAACCAGCTCTATTCTGCATCGCAGGTCCATTTTATTAATTATATAATATATATTATACTGACTTGATTGAAAAGCCACTTTATATTGGGCTCTAATATAATATACTAATAATAAAACTGCGCTCTAAATTGGGGGTCCATTTTATTAATTATATAATATATATATATATGATACTGACTTGATTGAAAAGCCACTTTATATTGGGATCTAATATAATACTAATAATAAAACAGCGCTATAAATTGGGGGTAATCAGCGAAGATCACCTATCGAAAGGGAACTAAACGACAAAAGCGTGGCTCAGTAATGAGTAATTACACGGCTTTATCTCTTATAACTCCAACAAAATTCGGGTTTCAACTGTGTACTCGAAATTTTAGTTAGTATATTAGATTAGATTTTTCTAACTAAACTAAAATTTTAGTTGGTATATTAGATTTTTCTAATTAAACTAAACAAAATTTAGAATAAAAACAGTTTTAGTAATGTATAAAAAAAGGAAGTAATTTGTTTTTCTAATAACAAAAAAACATATATATTAAAATCTTATTTATATTTAGCAAAAGGTAATAATGGACTAAGTTGTTAATCTAATGGCAGTTTTACAAGAGTATTACAACAACCGTGTATTAGAAGGGTGCTTGTTAAAAAAATTATATTTAAAACTAAAATTATAAAAAAAAAATTAATTTGCAAATATTTTTTTAAAATTATATTTTATTTATATTTAAAATGACATCCGTCACTTAACAACTTAATATCTTATATTATAATAATTTCTAACTTATTTTATACAACTAATTTGTAGTTAAATAATTTAATTTTTTTCCAATTAATATTAATATATAACTTATTTTTTATAATAATGATAAATATAATCATTTATTTATTTTTATGTACAATACACATGTCAAATAGAATATTATCAAGACATGATTAATTTGATATATTATATAAAAATTAATAATAAATAAAAAAGTTATTAGCTTTTAATTATATTTATAATTTATGTTAGTAAATCAAACAGTGATAGAGATATAATAAAGTAATTTAATGAAAGAAAAAAGTAATTTATGATGTACCAAAAGTGCAATATCAGCATTCTCAACGAATAAAATCCAAAAAGGAATTTTCTTGCCGATTTCTAGTGGATTGTGAATGAAAATGAGAAGGAGAGAGAAAAATAAGCATGTAGTAACAAATTGCAGTTTATGAAGTCATATAAATAATTTCATTTTGCCAATTTTAATTGGTGTAAAGCAAACACAATCTCCTTTTCTGAAATGGGTCAAATTTTCTTTAAACTTAAACCATCTACTTACATCCCAACTGACGAAAAACAAATCTAACTTCACCAATCAAAATCTAAAGGTCCCTAAAATTTCTCTCTTTATAATTATTAAATTTTCCCGCAGTTAAAAGAAACAGTTGGTTTTAAGATTCTTATTAAGACCCCTTTGTACTCTGGTTTCTTTCTCCTCTGTTTCTTTATTAATAATTTCTCTTTGCTGAACGCTTTTTCCTCTTCTTTTCCCTTAATTTTCTGTCCCAAAAGAAACAAAAGATTGTTTGGTAATTAAGATACATGACCTATATACGTATATATTTATGTATGTATGTATATATATATATATATATTCCGAAATGATGTAGGAAAAAAAAATATAAAAGAGAGGAATTAATGCAGACATGGGCGAGTGTGGGTTCAGGAGTGAGAAAGAAGAGGGATATGGAGAAATTTTGACAGAGTATAATCATAATCAGAATAGTTTTGAGTCTGCAAGTCCAACCATCGTTGACCAAGAATTTGGCTCTAAGAGGGTCAGACTTTCTTCACTACTTGAGAACCAGATTTGTTTATTTTAGATAGATATTTCACAATTAATGTGTGATATCACTATTTTGCAACCATTCAGTCAAGTAAAAGTAACTTATGAACAATAGAGAAAGGCAATGTTTTATGGGATATCCTTCTGTTCTGTTTTCCTTTTCATCTTTTCTTTATTTTTTATTTGCTCAAGTGATGTTCAGACGATATATTCAATCTTTTTGGAAAAATGTAATAAAGTGGAGCAGAATAAGCAATTTGAAATCTATAAGAATTAATGGTAATGGGTTTTACCTTAATAGTTCTATATATAAAATTAATAAGTCTGTTATATAGAAGCAATTTCTTCCCATCAAATTGAGTCAATAAACCTGGTGACAAATATATGATGCATTGTGGTTGATTGAACTTGTTTCCAAATTTCTTTTTCTATTCCTTTGTTGTTACAAGTTCTTTACAATTGTTATAACTTATAATAACTATGGTTGAAAGAATTTTGGGTTTTTTCTAAAGGAAGGAGACGCTGATAGTTCCGAACAATCGAGCCCTCTTGGCTTGACACTGCGAAAAACACCGTCTTTTTTGAATTTGGTGCAAACGAGTCTATCTCAAGGCAAGAAAGCAGATCCACCGAAAAAGGACGACACGGGATCTTCATCTACACCCGAGAAATTGAAGGCTTCCAATTTTCCCGCCATTTTCATTAAAATCGGTGTTTGGCAGGTTATTATTTTAGCCTTTTTTCTCAAACACATGTATAGCATTTTTTTACTTGTTTGTAACTGTCGTGTGCTCGAATTTCTGCATGCAGCGAACTACAAGGAACGAGGGAGATTTGACTGCCAAACTTTACTATGCAAAACGCAAGTTGGTTTGGGAGGTTTTGGATGGGGCATTGAAGAGTAAGATCGAAGTACAATGGTCGGATATTATCGCGATTCGTGCAACTACTCATGAAAATGAGCCCGGAACTTTGGAAATCGAGGTTAGTTATTTCTCAATGTCCCGTCTGTCATGAGGTGAAATGAAATTAAGTATTTGATTAGTAGTCCATCTTAATAATTAATA